GCTGCCCAGGCTGGGCGCAGAGGTCCTCGACGGCGCGCCCGCGCGGGGGGCGGCCCGCGTAGCGTTGCTGCTGTTGCTGCTCCCCTTCCGCCTCGGGGTGCTCCAAGTCGGCCTCCACCGACTCGTTCACCTCGCCGCCTGCCGCCTCGTCGGTCATCTCCACCTCCGCGGCCCCCTCCAAGTGGTTCATGGTGGGCGTCGGGGTCGGCTGGGAGAGAGGCTGGGCTGGCTCACTGCGAGCTCATTTTGCTCCACCCGGCTGGAAGAACGAGAAGAGGAGGGGCTGTTAAGTGGTTCAGGCTGTAGTCAGGTGCTGAGTGCCAAGATAACCATAAAAACAGCTGTTATTGATCCTTTCTGAATCTGGGTCATTTAAACAGTGATTGCAATTTTAAGCTCAATCTTTAGTGCACCTTCTTCGTAGCACGTGTGGTAATTTGTAATTACGTACCTTCTTGTTTAATTGCTTAAGGCTTTCTCCCTTCCCCACCCCTCAGACTGAGAGCCCCAGTGAGCCTTTAGTTCCTCATCAGGGTTACTATTCGGTTCCATTTCTGATGCATCTGAATAGAGTACTACTAAATTGAACGAGCCAATTGACGCATTTTCCATCTGCTAAGGGATAAATCTCTCTAAATTAAACTAGGATCCTAGATACTTTAGAAATGATTCTTTAAATAAATTTCAAGGGGAAAAAATCATCCTGGAATGTTTTGAAGCCATTGCTGTCAATACAAATACGGAGCCATTCTGGGGGAGGCTATCAGCCCTCAGCAGTTCTCATCCTGTCGTTACTGGCTCTGCTGCCTCCGCGAAGTGGCTTCATTTTTCTGGCTCTCACTATGAGAACAGACTCTCGTCCTACAGCAGGACGTTAACAGCTATTACACAAAGGAAAAAGACTCCGTGGTCAAAAGCGGAGTTGGAATTGATTTTCCATTGTGAATATTCAAGGAGGGGGGGGGAGATACAGGATGCAGGGTTCCTTCCCAAACTTATTTGAGAAACACTTCTTTTCTAGAGGCTAGTGTTCTGACAGATACACTTAAACACATACTGACTAGCTAACACTCACTTCCCTCATACATCCCGGATCTAAAATTCTTTTTGATTCTATGAATTAGCATTATAGCTGATACTGGATAACATGCTCATTTCCTTAAAATATGAGTAGGCCTCTTTCCTTATTTCCAGAGGGACTTGTAGCTAAAGAGAGAGTTTTGCTTTCAACCTCTGTCAATCCTTCTTGTCACAAAATAGCTTTCTAGCATAATCTGTGTACAGTGTGTGGAAACAAATACAAAGGATGCAAAGAACAACAGAAACAGGCAGGATCCCGACAATTTCAAGACACTGTGGCAAGTGGGTTCAACAACGTGTAAACTTTTCTCACAGTGTTCTTTTGGAGAGCTCAGCTTACAAATGGACAAAACAGATGGGAAGTGAACTCTTTAATGCATCAGCAGAAAGCTCCTGGAGGACCAGGGACATCTGACTGACTCTCTAACATTAGGATGCATTATAGCTACTCAACTCCAACCACAATTACAGCAGTTTCCTTCAAGCACTATGACAGCCAGCAGTAAAGGAGGCCATTATGGAGCTACCAAACTCATCTTAAAGCAGAAGTATCGCCTTTCCCCCATTCTTTGATGGAAAAAGAGGCAGCCAGGGAAAGATCTGAGGGCAGGGCCTTGAGGTGAGAAAGGCCTTGCTGTATTCAAAGACATAAGGTGTCTTCACATAAGGTGTGTGAAGTGAGTAAGGGATGATGTGGTAGGAGGTGAGGATGGGGAGACAGGAGGGGGCCAGCAGGGCTCCCATTATCCTCACCATACTCTCTCTGTATTTATTATGTATTATATATAATTTTATTTTATTACCTGTCATTCTGAGTAACTGTTCTTTACAAATAACATGAAGTCCTTGAGAAAAGAGGACACATCATTTATCTTTGATTCCCCAGTGCCAAGCACAGAAGGTACACAGTAAGTAGTCAATAAATTTTTAGTGATTAAGAAGAAAAAAATTATCTCCCATTCCCCAATATTGGGGGCCTTTTAGATAATGGCATGCCTAGCCTTTAGAGAACTCATTTCTTATTTCCATCTTGAATCTTTGCTGCCCTTATCTACCCATGCAACCTTCTCCACCTTCTTCTGATGCTTTACGTGCCCAAAGAACTCTAGTGAGTCAACACTTCCCTACTTTTGAGTGCATTGGTCCAGTTGGCATTTATCAGATATGTACCAGGCACTGTGCAAGGCAAGGAGGATGCCAAGTGTCTAATCCATGGTCCCAGCCTTCAAGGGCCAACAGCTTTGATAATTATCATACCTGGTGATGAATGAAAAACGGAAATAAGTTCAAGCTACAAAAGGAGACGAGCTAAAACAACGACAACGGTATCACCTTTGTGAATCATGCAAGTGCTGCTGGCCTTATAGGGTCTGGATTTCATAGCTCGTAAGCATCCTGGGAACTGAGGCCTAGGAGAAGAGTGCCATCATCTAGTCAATGTCCCAGATTATGAACCATGTGCCTCTGGGGGCTGAGAGAGTAGAAGGGAGGAGATGCAGCTGGTTGAAGAAAATCCTCCCCCTCCACAAAAAGGCTTGATGACCTGGAGGACACAGGCAAGACAGTCCCCTCTGCAGGAGCAGCTACACAACATGAGGAGGGGGTGCTGTGGCATCTTGGCTGCAGGGGTGATGGAATCCAGACTGCTAGCAGTGACGCACAGGTGGCTTTCTGGCTCCTGGCTCTGGAATGTTCCACAGCTAGGCTGGAAAAAGTGAACACCACTGCAGTGCACCATTTAGAAATAACACATTTTGTGATTCAGCAGTTAAATCCAGGCAGCTCATAATGTTAGCTGAGGCTCCTGTTGGTTTCGGACTAACAGAAAGGGAGGCTGTAAATTACTTTGGTTGATCTCTCCTTGAGTAGTTGTTAATAAGAATTTCCAGTAGACTGTCCCTTTTAACACATTCAGAAGTAGTTTTAGAAGAAGGGTCTGACTGAAGACAAAATGCAATGTAAAAAAGAATGAAAGAAATCACACCAGGTTGTTAACCTGGAGAGTTATTGTGTGTGTGTGTGTGTGTGTGTGTGTGTGAGGGCTGGGGGAGTAGAAATGCAGGTGTAGGGAAACACACAAAGGTGGAGCTGGCACAAGTGGGAAAAGAGGAAGACTGTACTAGCCATTCTCCCGTCTGAAAAAACTAGATTGAACAATATGATTCCACTTATATACGTTTTTATACTTCTGCAGATATTTAAAGTAGTACAACTGTCTCCCGTGGACTTAACGAATGTTGCTTGTCTTTCCCTGCTGGAGTTGCAAGGAAAAGTCCTATTTCTTGGGACTGCAGTCTGTCCTAATCCACCTGCACACCTACTGTTCCAGTCAGCGTGATGTCTGCTATGAAGCCAAATACTGCCCATGACACTGAGACCATTAATTTTTATAGCAACAGTTGTAGTTGCCAAACAAATTATGCCCTGGATGTAGTGCGCGCGCGTGCACACACACGCAATCTGCATGGGCTGGGAGATTAATGATTCTCATTTAAAAAAAGAGAGAGAGAGAATAAGAATATCCAGGTGTCCTTATCTATCCTCCCTACCCTATACATGTGTTTTCCTTCCGTGAGATCGATCGTGAAACATCTACAGGGGATCCAAAGGACATGAAGAATCCCATTCAAATCATCAGCTCATCTAAACACAGTGCTTCTGTTTATAAAAGAGTAGCATATAAAAGACAGAAGTAAAAAAGATGAGTTCTTTAAAGCTTCGTCTCCTTTGAATCCTTTGGAAATTAAATTCAGTGATACTGGGAGCCAAGATGGATACAGAACACACATTTCTCCTTCCTAAAATCCCTTTCAGTTTAAATAGGCTCATGTGGTCAGAAAAAGCCTCCTCACACAGAGTATCTTGCCTCAGCAAACTATTACTTTGTTTTCCCCGATATCCTTGTGCCTGAAATTGTGAAGTATGGCTTGGCAGATGGTACTGGTGATGGTTTCAGAGTGAGCTGAGTACCAGATGTCAACCAGAATGAGGTCTCTGGGAATTGGAACTCAGGGATGTGTCCCTGATCCTGTCCGGCTTCAATGAA